GGGAGAGAGGGAAGAGGGAAGGAGCGGATCCTCACTCTCCCCCCCCCCCCCTCCTCCCCGTCCCCCCCGTCTCCATTGCCAGAGATTCGTGTTGAGACACGGCTGCAGCCCACTTTAAAGATGGCAGAATAAGACAACAACATCATCTTTTATGCAGTGGCCTTTGCTGGTGAGCCCCCCTCTCCCCCCCACCCCCCCCCGCCCCAGTGAGCACAATGGCCGTGTATGGAAAGCTTACCAGACCGTTTTCATGGTCGAACACTGGGCCGTCTGGCTCCCGGGTGCGTTGTTGGAAGTGTGTCTCCCAAGTGATTTCCTCCTTCAACGGCATCAGCGGGCAAATAGTCATTAATTAGCCCAATGCTTACAAGACCGTTTCAGCCGGAGCTGGGTGTATTTGTTCATTATATCACAATTAAGTCCCTAATCAAATGGCGGCAACGGTGCTCAGTGCTCATTAGGGAGCCATATAGATTTCTCTTGGTTCCATCAAGGTTGGGTGATGGGCCAGCCAGATAATTACAATCTCCAACCAACCACGTGGAGAGACGGAGAAATAACAAAGGAAGTGTTTGGGATTGTCTGAACAAGCCGTTTGCCGATCACCGATTGGACGGGATGGGCCGGCGACGGGCTCCACGGGGGCGGGGATGGACACGGGCGAGGTGACCTTTTTATGATGCACCGGCCTCTTAAAGTGTGAGTGGAAATAAGGAGCCCACATTGAGGATGTTCGCTCATTTAGGAGCTTCTTTCAAATTGTATTGAGAATTAAAAAGCACAGCTAAGCCCTTCACACCCAAAGAAAAAGCCCATTGAATAATTGTGTTTTTTGAAAGGTGCGTCTGTTTTAGAGGACGTAATCTCTCTAAACCTTTTATGCTGCAAAAATGTCTTCACACAATCTCTTGTCGACTTTCATGTCAGAACCCGTTTCATTAGGGGGATTCGTTTGTGTTCCTCCCTCAGAAGTCTCTTTCTATTAGTGTCTTTGTACTTCCCTTTTTACAGAAGAGAGGACAGAGAGGAAGAGAGGAAATGGGCGCCGTCCACTTTCACAAGCGACTGCGGTTAACGGTTCGTTCGTTGCTGTTCCAGCCAACCGCTGCTTTCGGTTAGTGCAGGCGGGGCGTTCAGTGTGTGGTCAGCGTGAGGAGGAGTCGGCAGGGAACCTTTTATCCGCGTGAATGAATCCGATCCTGATCATGTACATCGGTCATATTGGGCGGGTTCTAGTCTGAAATAGGAGAATAGTATCTGAGAGTTCCTCTCTCTCAAGCCTGCCGTGATTTATACCTTAATATTGTCAAAGACATTTGACTCCCGGTGTCAGATACCAACAAAGACGTTACAGGGAGCCCTTTCTAACTGCGTTTTATCTAATCATTTGTACGATTGATGTTATTAGCTTTGGTTAAATGGTTTAATTTCAGAAAAATGGCAGCTTATCAGGTCTGATCAGCTTTTGGCAAACCTACAAATATAATAATAAAGAACCACTTCTGACGCCGGAAAGGCCGACGGTGACGATCGCTCATCGGAATAGTTGCAGACGAACATTCTGTTGACCAGCTAGTCGAGGGATCGGTTTCAGCCCTGCAGCTCACGATTGAGCACGAATGCCGCTGGATGTGGACTGAAATCCACTCTGCTCTCGTCCCCTCTGCTTCAAACTGGGGGGTGGTGGGGGCTCCAGAGCCGGGGCGAATGCTCTAATTGGGCCTCCTTCTGTGTCTCCATCCAAGTCGAGTTCATTTGGCCCGACAACAGAGAGGGAACCTGCTGCTCGCCACTCAGAGCAATGAAAATGACACAAAATATTCTGGCTCGCATCTGCAAGTGAACCATTAATGTTATTGTGATGGTGTCACTTTAAATTCCACCCCTTCCCCCCAATTCAGAACGCTAATTGGAAACGGCGGCGCGAAATGACAATGACAAAGCGCGTCAATAATATAACGGCGCCTACAGGTTTCAACCCGGAGCCGTAATCAAGACAAAGCACGAGTGCGCCCCAAAAGGAACTCTTTGGCACGGCGGAACGCGGCCTGGTGTCCGAGCAACAGTGGAGTTTATTTTTACTTGGTCTTCAGCCCCTTAACGCGCGTCGCATTAAGGGGTTTAATTAGTGCGAGGCCGGAGAAGCCAGCTGGATACGCGCTTCTTTCAGTCTTCAGGGCACAATGCGCGTCAAAACAGAGGAGTCAGCCTCCCTTTTGGTTCGGACAAATTAAAAGTATTTGCATGGAAAAGGGGCTTCAGACGTTACCTCGTGTTCCTCCAATTTGGTCATTTAACACAAACGGAAAGTGGTGTTTTTCTAGTGATGTCGCTGCTTCACTGCTGCTAAACACACACACACACACACACACACGCACACACCTTCTGATTATCTAAAGCCTGTTGAAAAGTAACACCCAGCAGTCACAGATGTAACGCATCCGGGAACACGCTTTCCTCCACGATGCCCGGCATTCTCGTTCGGGGAACTTCAGTGAAGGTAAATGGGAAACAGACCCGTGTCTCGAGGGTGTGTGTGTGTGTGTGTGTGCGCGCGCGTGAAGCTTGACAGGAGAAGGACCATCGCCTTCTTTTTTTTTTGCATTTACAAGTAAAATGAGACGAATGGTTGCAATTAATTCTGCAGCGACCGTTAGCCAAAGAGCCGAGCCCGGCGGCGGCGATGCCGCGTGCACAGGTCAGGCGCATGCTGATGCGTTTACGCACGTGTGTGTGTGTGTGATGCTTTTAAAGGCGCGCTCGCTTCGAGGCCCACTGAGGTTTTACAGGAGGCGACTACGTGCTGACTCGAGTGAACCAGCCAACATCTGCCCCACGTTCTGCCTGCGAATGTACCGAACCTTTGGTTTTCGCGGCGACGTTAGCGCGCGCGCGGCTATATTTCATCTGTTGACATTTGAGGCGCGTAAAATGCCGTTTTTTGAAGAAAGAGGTAAACAAGCTGTCAACATTTTCTCGAAGATGCAAAAGATGGCGAGGGCATTTTCCCGGGGAGACATGCAACTATATTCAATGCAAAAACAGTAAACTAGACTCCTGTCAAGTCTGATTATTCGGCACCACTGCCCCTTTGTCAGCGTGTGAAGAAGAAGAAGAAGAGTAGATCTAGAGACGTGTGCACCGTCTCCTTTTTCTGCGAGCTACAGCCTGTTCTTTTTTTTTTTTTTTTAGATACGGGTCTACGTTGAGGCAGCTGTTATGATCGGTGCTTTAGCTTTGCCAAGTATTGCTTGTCACGTGTGTAAAGGTGTTGTTTTAATTGCGTTCCCTATGAAAGGTTCCTCCATTCAGTCCTGTGACTTACAACCCTGATAAGCTGCATTTATTTCGCCAAATAAAGCACATTTTCCCTGTTTGACCTTCAGTCGGACCGGTCTCTCCTTAATTGAATCAGATGGGGAGACACCTGCAGCTGGGGCAAAGGTCACAGGAGTGACAAAATAAAAAGTTAAAGGAATCCGTGTTTAAGATTGACATTCGAGGCTTCGCTCCAAGGTGTGCGTTGGAGCGTCGCTGCAGAAGAAGATGGAAACTGCAGATGCTGCCCAAAAAGTGCCATTTTTTTGTCGAGTATTAATTGGGAGAGAAGCAGTCGGCTGGAGGTGAACGCATCGTGATTGACAGCACGGACCAATTATTTTCAGGAATCCACGGTGCAGACGCACCTGATGCAAGTGTCTCTAATCGCTGCCGTGATTGAAGGCTTCAAACACGAACGAGAACATTGAAATTTATTTGGACATGAGACGTTGACCTTGGCGCTGTGTCGCATTAAGGGCAGATAAGGACTTTGTACCACAAGAGGAGCTTTCCATGGCGCAGAGTCTGCTCGTCTGGGTTTTGTGTCCGTCGGGGCAGCTGGCCAAGCTTTCACAGCGGACCTGAACCGATGCCTACATCAGCGGTGCCATTGCTCACTCGGGGGTCTGATGGCCGGGGGAGGGGGGGGGGGGGTGACTTATTTAAGCAGGGAAGTCGACACATGAGTGGACTCCGAATGCTAACAGAGCTGAAGGAGCTAACAGAGCAGAAAAGCCCAAACCAAAACAAACAAAGGGCTCTTGTTCGGCTCTGGCTGCAGGCAGTTGGCACAGCGACAAAAAGCACCATTCATATTATTGTTTTGTTTTTTCTGAACTCAATGGAACGTCAGAAAAGACCCCAAAATGCGCCAAAGCACAAATTCTTTTTGATTTATCGGACAAAAGCGAAATACTTTGATTTATCCCACAGACAGAGACGAGCGGCACATTAAATTGAGAAGCTAAATCATAGGAGGAGGCATCGTTTCTTAATTAACTCCACTGTCAACTCCCCCCGATTGTTCCTGACTTCTTGCATGAATCGATCCATGAATGGATCATCGGCATCTGGTGGCCGGTTGTCATTAGCGCCGATGTCATCTCGCGATGGCGACCACAGGAACCGTCTCACCTGCCCGGGTCTCCATTGGTCTCCACCAAACCAAAGTTCGATCCTTCCCGTCGGGCCCGCTCTCCCGCGGCGACGCCCGCCGACCGCCAACCGTGAATTTCCCCTCCCGTCTCCATGCCGACGCGTAGGAAGCGGCGCGCGCCGGCTCTCTCCCACGCCATCGCACGCGAAAATACACCGGCGGGGAACAAAGAGCGACACGGATGAGCGGTATCGAACGCAGCATCCGCCACACACGTAGGTTAGCGCCGACCAATCGGCTGCTTCAGAGGCGGAGGACAGGAGGCCAAGATGGGGGAATTCGTTTGGACCAAGTCTTGTCATTCGGCTGCTGCTCGGGGAGGAAGTCGAGTCACTCGTGCGCCGGCTCGTCTTCATCGCATTTGTCAAATTAGCGCCTCTGTTTTAAAAACACTAACACTGATTCCTCCCCCCACTCCGGTGACAATTAGTGCCGAATCAGCCACTTTTTCTCCCTCATTAACATGGACGTTAACGTGAAATCGCCTCGGGGCACCTGCACTCTCTTTGACACAAATTAGCACAAACGGCGCAGCTTCCTGACGCTCCGCCGCGCCTCTTTGTGCCGTTCCCCCGCCAAGTGGCGTGTTCCATTTGGGGACGCTCACACCGAGCTCGTCCTCTGCAAGTCCGTTAACGAGCGCTGTTCCTCGCCGACGCACACACGGATGCTCCTCTGCCTCTCCGTTTTTTTTTTGCCTGACCTGATTTGACGGACATCTTCATCTTCCGCTGACCTCTCTGCAGACTCGGTGTGGATGAGTGTGTCATCGTGCGCCCCCGCTGTGTCCCATCTCAGATTCCATCATGTTCCTTCCAACGGGTGTCCGTGACTCATCTGGCATTAACCGCGGAGTGTCAACGACCCCCCCCCCCCCCCCCCCGGTGACCGATGGAGGACTCAGCAGGTGGAACCAGCTGAGTCGCTGGAAAAAGGTGGTTGGGTTGTTTTTCACTTCCCCCCCGAGGTCTGAAGCAGGAAACAGGAAGTGGACTCAGCAGCGGGGGCCTGTTTTCCCTCAGAGATAAACGTTATTTATCAGCCGGCCGCCTGCGTGACTCCTCGCCGTCGCCCTTTAGCCCGTTGGGATACGTCGAGGTCGGGGGTCGCCTAGCACTCATCCACGCAAACAACACTGGAGCAGGAATCAGCGGGGAGGGGGGCGGCGAGGAATTTCCTGCAACTTGTTATTGACACTTCAAAGGTCCACTCGGAAAAGTGCCCGTTCAGCGCTGCGTAGTCACCCGCCCCCAGTCTGCTTCACTTTATTGGGCAACGCAGGGAAAACAATTTAGATTTATGAGTCATGTGGCTCTGTGCGCAAACATTCTGCCTTCTTAGCTGAAGGCGAGCGGTAAGTCATCGCTCCTTCACCCCCCCACCCTCCCCCCTCCTCGTCTGCCTCCTCTCCTCTTTTCGGCGAGCGTCAGCGGCTGCAGGAGGTCTGGTTTTCCTTCATCTCCTACGTGTTGCAGTGCGCTGCTGAAGGGAAGGGGGGGTAAACTGAGGTCGTCGTGGATGTGGAGCCCGTAAAGGAACGCGTTGAACTCCAATCACTTGTTCAGTGATGCATCCAGCTGCCTTCTTAAGAGATCCAAGCCGAGAATCAAAAAATGTTGTAACTAATTGCATTAAATTCTTTTTCCCAATCTAGTACGAAAGGGTAGATTTAATGCCAGATTTAATTTGACGAGGCGGTTCTGGTTGGCGGACTAGAACGGGAATATTCCCGTTCTTATTTTCTGAATTCAAACCCTGGCTCGCGCCTCCAGCTTGGGATGGCCGTCTCTCTCCCGCCGAGCTAAAACTCGCCCGATCTCTCCCCTTTTTAACCGGAGGAGCATATCTTTAGGACAGGCCCAGGCGCATTGTGGCCGCCTCCTCCCTCCTCCTCACCCCCCCGGCACAGAAAGAAGCAGAAGAAAAAGTGTGCACTTTGGTTTGTATGCGTTCGATTGGCGCAGTAAACTACTGCGCTCGCCGCGTCCCTTCCAACCTTCTCACCTGGGGGCGGGAGCCGGATGTGTGCAATGGCGATGCGCCTCACCGGAGTCGGGAGGTAAAAATGAGTCAGCAGGACCGGCTAATCTCCCAATTCCCAGTAAAGATTCGAACCCAAACACACACACACACACACACACACACACGTGTACATACAAAGGATTACTCCAGTACCGACTGTAACTCTGACCAAACCGCTGATTTCGGTCCTGAGGAGAAAAACGCCACGCTGCAAAGTTGCTCTGGGGATCAATAAGGCAATTTTGAGCCGGGTCAGCGGCTGACTCTCAGGTTGTTTACGGGGGGGGGGGGGGGATAGTGGTCGAGTGAGCGTGTTGGCAGATATCGGTTTGCTTATCCAATCTATGTGTGAGCACGTTGATCACGACGGAGCGCTTTGCGCTCTCACCGGACGCCGTCCGGCCCGGCTGCACAAATGCATTTAAATTGCTTTTTGTTTATTTATAAATGGATCTTGTATTTCCTTATTTTATTTGATTGCTGGAGTGTCTAAGCAGAAGCGCACCGGGCTCATGAGAGGGACGTTTCTTCCCGCTGACTCACTTTGGTTGTCCTGACCTTGAAATCCGAGTTTTACAACGTCACCCCGTTTGAATATGTCCACATCATACAAATGAGCTTTGTGCTTTGTAGGGAAATCTGCCGTTTGAGGAATTGATCCGGAGATAAAATCTCCAAATGATTCCACCTCATGTTCAGGTGGAATAACAAGAGATTCCAAGTGGAGTTGACTTGCATGGATCCGACTCCCCCGCCGCCAGAATATCAACGCGTGGAGCGAGACCCTTCTTAAAGGCGGCTATTGCCGACCGCCCCCGGGGGGGACGGAGGCAGCCCGGGTGTCGTTATGGAAACGGGTTGTGCCGCCGAGCCGCCCCGATTGAAACGTCCTCGGAGCGGAAGGCCCATCTCGCTTTCCAATTACAGCGGCGGCGCCGTGTGTAGTGGCCCATTTGCTCGCCGAGGCGCACAGGGAGCACCGGGAGGAGAGCGGTGCGCAG